GAGCTGGCCAAACAGCATGGAGCCAGCTTCCCGGCTCCATGGTACCTCGCGGCACTGACGGTCAGAGAAAATCTCCCTGTGACCGAACGTTCCAGTATCGGGAAAGGTATCGGAGCATTTGGGGGAGTATGAGCACTCGCCCAAATACTCGGTATCGGCACTGATACCGATATTGGTATCAGGGCATCCCTAGTACTTACTGTAAAATCTGTTTCTTCAAGTCCATTTTGGACAGGAATTTAGAAACAGCTGTGTTATGCTGCCACCTACAGCCCAAGATGTACACTTTTGACCCTCGGCACCAGGAAAGAAAGGCTCCAAGAGGAAGTATTGATGCATACAAAAGCCATCCAATCATGCAAGGAGATAATCAAGATAGTAAAACTATGTAGCATAATATCCTAAGGGGATAGCCAAATGATCTTAGGAATCAGTGACAACCCCAAGGGTACCAACCTTGAGGTCAGCTTAACTGAAAAAGGGGAGGGAGGTGCCAGTGGTACCCCCATCAAGGTAGGAACTGGAACACTCTGCAGTGTCACATGCGTCTGATAGGGAACCCCCCTGCAGACCTGCCTACCAGATCTTGCTCAACGATCTAAGAGTTATTCGACCCACCCTGTTCCAGTGAAGTGTCCACAGCTGTGGAGTGATGGGCAGGAACCTTAGCCAAAGAGCTAAGAATATTCACCTGATTAAGAACAGGACCAAGGAAGAGATTTTGAGAAATTTTTCTAAACGCCTGTGGATCAGCCACAGTAATAGGACCTGACTCCAAATGATCCAATCTCATGAAGACCCCCCCACATGCAATATCACCTACAGGAAAGGCCTGCATTAAGGATGCAGCATGAGCTGTCTGTTATGTTGTATAATCTGAGGGAATAACATTGAGCCCTCCAGTGATGTTTTCTTCCTGCCATACAGGAGTTGAAGTTTGCCCACCAGCACAAACTTCTATCTCTGAAATGGGGCCTACAGGTTACAGGAGAGTAACCTGTAGGAGAGGTTACAGTTTGACCAGGGGCGTAACTAGAAATCACAGGGCCCCATAGCAAAATTTTGTATGGGGTCCCGTGATCGCTAGTCATGCCACTTGCAGAGCTCCAGGCTCTCCTCCTCTGCTATTGACGGGCCCCGCCTTCTCTTGCATCACTGGCCCCATCTGCTCTTAGGTCGCTGGCCCCGCCTCCTCCATTCCGAATACTGCCCTCATCTGCCGCAGCGGCTGTCTGTCAATGAGACTGCTCCGCAGCGGCTATGAGGGGAAATGAGCCGTGGCTGCTGCTGAGCTGTGTCTGTGACAGCCAGCACCCCCACATGCCATAGCGACCCCCTGTGCCCGGGCCCCATAGCGGCCGCCTGAGTCGCTATGGCGCTTGTTACGCCACTGAGTTTGACTCATTGGTTCAGGAGGGTCAGAGACAGACTTTGCTGGGGATGGTCCTTTAGGCGATCTCTTAAGACTCATCTCTTCAGGGAAGCCTATCCCACCTCAACCTAACCACTGAACTATCACTTTCTCAAACAATTCATCCCCACACAGCTACCTCCTCATGTATCACTTGCCCCTCCCTTTTAGATTGTAAGCCCTCACGGGCAGGGCCCTCCTTACCATCTTGTCTTGAATTGTATTGTGATTGTAATGTCTTCCTTATATTGTTAAGCGCTGCGCAAAACGTTGGCGCTATATAAATCCTGTATAATAATAATAATAACAATAATAATATTAATAATGGTGCCAAACCACAATTATGGCCCCTATTGGCAGAATGCTTCAGTAGCTGTGCACAAACAGCTCGGAAATTTAAGAGTGGACAAAAAGGTCGCTGTTGACATAGAACAGGCCACAGCCCTGACCAATGGAGATTAAATAGACTCCACAGAGGAGGACCTTATAACAATATGAGTACCAGGTTCCAGATTACGGGTCTTCGTTCCATCTGGGGATATGTTGTGAATGTCCCCAAACCACTAGGAAAGTATGGGCAAAGGCCACCCAAAGCAACAGTACTGTCCTCTACGTGTCTTTGGGGAGACATGTTGCAGCGTGTGGCAGTAAGCAACTAGGCCCAATGTGAAGCAATGGGGTTGATTTACTAACCTTATAAACACACCACGAACATGTATACACCTCTGTAGTGTGTTCCCTCCCAGCATGATCTATGGGTGGAATCTAAACACCTTTGTAGTGTGTACACACCCAGCAGGTGTGTTGTGCAAAGCCAAGCATGAATTTGCAAGGTGATGTTGTGTAAATTAGCTCTATGTTGTGTTGCTTGCGTTGATGAATGCAGGAATGTAAATGCATGAGCTAACCATTTTTGTCTAAACTGTGAAGCAGCATTATACAGTATATGCATCATGTGCATGATTTTTCCATATATGGCATTAGTGGAAATATGCTTTTAGAGACTTTTTGGTTGATAAATACGTTTTGCTGTGTAAAAATCCCACGCACCCCAATGACTCAAGTGCTCACAATCCTGGGCTGATGAGGGTTTTTAGGTGGCCGAAGGTGACGAGACACTGTAGGCTAGCAGTGGAACCAAACTGGAGACCACAGATCCAGGTGGTGTGGTAACAGCAAGGGGATAGTACTTTCTCTAGGTTAAATGGCGGGAAAGAGGGAGCAGAGCATACAGCGCTCCACCTGGCAGCTGACAGCGTATGGCACCGCACACAAAACAGCTTAAAATGTAGATGTCTCCAGCACGCCAGCATGACAGAACTCATAAGTCAGTGCAAATCCATTTTTTAATAGATGTCACTCAGAATAACAAGCGCTTTCGGGGCCGCACAGGGTCCCCTTCCTCAGGCTCAGAGTAGACATTATTCTGAGTGACATCTATTAATAAATGGATTTGCACTGACTTATGAGCTTCTGTCGTGCTGGTGTGCTGGACATCCACATTTTAAGATGTTTGTGTGCAATGTGCAGGTTGTATGAATGTCTGTGTATATAGTTCAGTGTATGTGAGTATAATGCAGACTGTATGTATGTTTACGTATGAAATGCAGGACCTTATGTGTTTCTGTGTGTTTGTATGTATAGTGCAGGGTTACATAGTTACATAGTTACATAGTATTTGAGGTTGAATAAAGACATTAGTCCATCAAGTCCAACCTATTAGGATCTCATTCTAATATATGTATTATTCACACAGCCACAGAGTGCCACACAACATACAAAGGAGTGTGATTTCTGTGCCCAGGAGTCAATCATTGACAGACGCCACAGCTGTATGCACATCCAAGTATTTACATCTGTACAGGGACAGATGTACCTCCCTGATCACAGACATTTTGCGCAAAGATGTACTCATTTATAAAAGCTGAAATAATGTGGGCCTGAAGCTCAACTTTAGGGCTTGTTCACACACCATATTTGTGTGCATTTCTGCAAACGTGGTGCAATGCATCGCTGATAAGTTTTTTATGCATTCTGGTGCGTTTTTTGAGTCAATGGGCTTTCATGCATGTTTCAGTGCATTTGAATGTGTTTACATGCGTTTTCTGCGTTCCAGACCAGAAAAAATAGTGCATGCAGTCATTTTTTGAACACACTAGAACTGAACGCAATGGTGTGAACTTAGCTCAGAAAAAACATAGGAATACATCGGGATGCGTTTTTGGACCAGAAAAAAAACATTCTGGTCTGCATCTGGTCCGAACATAATGTAAACAAGCCCACAGCTAAGCAAAAAGTTAACTATTGTAAAGGCAGAATTGCTTGGTTGACGAGACAGTGAGGCTGATTTACTAAAGGTGTTCAGAATCTTGACTGCAAAACTTGTGTGAATATTTATTTTGATTATCCGGTCATGTGAAAGGGAAACTACTGTTCACTTTGTTTACCGAATCATGTGCAGATTCTTTTTATATGACTGAATAACTGCCGTGAATATTGACACAATTTGTTTTTTTTGAGTGAAGATACTTAACTCCTTTAGTAAATCAGCCCATTTGCATTTTCTTCCCCCTTTCCTTTTAAGTAGTGTTTGTTTTTATTAATTTATTTTTTGTTAGCGTGATTGCAGAGCATGCACAGTGCAGTGTACACTCTGGGCACCTGCGTTGCATCATCTTTAGCCACCATAAGAAGGACGATTCCCAGCAGTAGATGAAGCTACTGTGAAGATGGCGATGGTGACTTTGGAGAGGTGAGAGTATAGAGCTGTCACCTTGAGCTGAGCAAATTGATGTAAGTTTTCTATAATGTGTAGGTATGTCATGCAAGCCTTTTAAGCTGGTCATACACTGATCAAATTTCATTTACCAGTGTATGGCCCCCTTTTTTTTATTAGAAATCATTTCAAAACACACAGTTGCTTTAAGTGAAGTTCATTTCAGTTATGAAAATATAATAGTGTGTTGATTTATGTTTTATCTGACTTCTGGTAAGGAATCCAGAAACAATTTGTTTCAATTCAACATTTAAAATCAATAGACATGAATTTCTTCAACCTAATAATGTCATTTAAAAAGTAATGTAACCAAAACTAGCTTCCAGATTAGTAAATATCCTTTCCAACTGAACTATTTTTTTAGCAAAATTGTGCAGTTTCCATGCAGGGCGGGTATTGTTTGCATTGTCATTGATGCAGCATTTTTCTACAAAATTCCAACACCTAGGGAGGGGGGAATTCCTTCTTCTCTAAACCAATCTTCTATTGAAGGGCTAAATCCGTTCTGTCTGCTTCTTTAGTAGCACTGTTAAAAATCATCACTGTATCTTAATAATCTTGTTTTGACAGGATTCTCTTTAATGTGTCACTCTCACTTTGTAAGGTTAGTAACTGACCATGTGTGAAGCTGCACTGCTTGCAGGAGGGTAAAATAAAATGTGGTCCAATCACCCTGTGGCTGGTGGTTATATGTTTGTGCCAGTGTCAATGTCCCCTTGAGAAGTTGCCACAACTCTTTTCTGCCTGTGCTCCTTAGAGAACCAGCCCATAGCTGCAGGGTGCCAAATGTCTAGAACACCAGGAAAAACTCACCCACACGAAATCCGGATCCTGTGAGTGTGTCTGTTGAGCCTCCATTCTCAGCAATAAGCGTCATGTTGCTCCCTGGCTTGCAAACATTATGACAATAGCCTTTGTGACATGTCCTTTTACATACCACAGGGGCGAAGACCACCTTGAAGCTCTCGCGTGTAGCTGATGAAGAAAAATTAAAGAAAAATGCCCCCATATAGAAGGCAGAGAGAAGAAAAGCAATACAGCAGCGTGCAAAAGTCATACTGAGATGATAGGATCCTTCACCTCTGTCTGTGTGAATATGTATGTAGGTATGCTTTTTCTATAGGTTGTGGTCCGGAATCACTAGTTGTCATTGCATGTGTGGAGCATTATCATGAAATGCTATGCACGAAGATTCCCCAGCAATAACCCAAGTTATATAAGCTGTTAAAACAGTGACACTTTGTGTGTCTCCTTATAAATGTGTATTAATGTGTATCATATCACATTATAAGATTGTGTACACCTTTTCTGACTGTTGAATAGATATGTCTATGCTCAGTGCAGATGTTATAGAAAATGTTTTATATACCTGTGTCCATCTGTCCTCCACTGCTGCATGCATGTGTGCCTGCTCTTGAATTCATGTCTCGCTTTGTGTGTTGAAAGGATGTATCAGATGAAGTTAAGAACTGAAAGAGAATCAAATAAAAAGGGAAAACAACTAGAATGGTATGTCACAAAATAACAGAAAAAAAGGAGATGCCAGGAGCTGTAGCATTCAGAAAAGGAAGAATTGGGAAGAGGAAGCAGTTTCAGATAGTGTTAGACAGACAGTGACAGTCACTGTAGCTGGAGGCTCTGAAAGCTTTAGGAAGAAAGTTTTCCGGATGAGAGTAATGTCTTGAGAGCAGCCAGGGAAGAAACAGGGAGTGAGAAAACAGGAAGACGGAGGAGGGGGAGTGAGGGAGTGAGAGAGGCAGGCAGGGGAGGAGAAACAGACAGAGAAAGTGGGAGTAGACTGGAAAAAAAGGGAAAGAACAGAAAAAAAAGCTATACACACAGCTAAATGACTAGGAAAAGAAAAAAAATGTCTGCAAACAATGGGAAGAAACCAGAGAGAAGAAACTGAAACAAAAGAGACGAAATAATAATAAACTGTAGATGCTGCCAGGAGTCACAGGACCAGCAAAAGCAATGAACTTGAACTTTAACAGTTACATCTGTGTAGCATAAAGCCTGCGTAATACACAAGGGAAGGTATATGAACTAAAGAGATATTTATGAATGGGAATAATAATACAGTTATTTAAAACTACAATATTTGACTTATTGCTTTAGTATAAAGGTAAAACAGACAGTGCAACTCTATGGGAAATACAGTACACACACAAGACAAAAAATTTTTTAAAGAATTTAACGCATAACATACATAGACTTGTTTACCGCCACTTCTGTGGGGCATGCCTTATGAAAGATCCCTATGTTTTACAGGGATAACTGCCTAGGAAGGGATTTTCCTACCTAATTGTGAGTTACTTGTCTATATTTATTCCACTTGCTGAGTAGTAGGATATTTAATCGGACTCCATAAAGTTTACATTTAAGTGGAATAACTAAGAAGAAAAAAGTCCTCCTTTTCGATTTAGAACCCTTTGTCTAATAACTTTGTGGTGGAAAATTACACTAAACTGAGGAGTTCATTCTTAAAAATACATTCAAGTACCCTAAATATTAACAAAAAATGTAGCTTATTTGTGTATCACATAGCTGTAGATCCGCCAAATCATCTCTAAATTCATGCTGACACTGCCTTTTGTGTGTTGTAAAGTAGCCACTGCTCCAAGCTCAATCCTGCCATAGACTATATACAAATTGGTAAACTAAACATTAGATTGTAGTCCATCACGGGAGTGAGATTGGAGTGGTAGCTACTTTACAACACACACAGGGACCATGAGGAACAAAAGTAGTCACCCTCCAGAAGGAAGGACAGTACAAGATGATGATTTAAGGATCTATGGCCAAGTGATAATAAAGCATTGGCGACCGTGCCCTGGTGTTCTGCCACTTGGAGGGGGGTGTGCTGAAAGGAAAAAGAGGGCCCAGTAACTGCACTTTAAAAACTCACTTCGCTTACTGCAGAGCTGTGACATCCCGGCCCCTGTAGCAGCTGCAGTGACTCCTCCCTGCTGATGCACCGGAGAGGTAGAAGAAAGATGGCAGTGCGGCAGTTTGGGCTGGTGAAGGAGAGCACAGCGTAAGTGAGCTGCTTGGGAAAACAAAAATGAAGGGGACACGGGTTGAGCCGAAACAGACACCTTGCCCAGGTGTAAGGAAGAGAAAGGAGATTGCTGGCGGCCGCCAGAATATGTGTGTCCCCCTCCTCCACATGTACACATCACACACCCCATGCCTGATCCCCTGTGTATATTCTCTCCTTCTAATATTCCTGATCGCATGTGTATACTTACCCCGTTTTCTACAATATCTGATCCCCTGTGTACCACCCTTTCTTCTCCCATACCTGATCCCATGCATATGCTCACTCCTTCTTCTCCCATTCCTGATCCACTGTGTATCTTCACCCCTTCTTCTGCCATTCCTGATCCTATGTGTATAATCATCCCTTCTTCTACAATACCTGATCCACTGTGTATCACCCTTTTTTCTCCTATATCTGATGCCCTCTGCATCACCGCTTGTCTCATACCTGATCCCCTGTGCATCACCCCTTCTCTCATACCTGATCTCCTGTGTATCACACCATCTTCTGGCAAACTTGATCCTCTGTGTATCATCCACTGGTGGAACTACCAGGGTCGCATGTGCAACCAGGCTCTGGCATTCCGCCACTTGAGAGGGACCTGGAAAGGAAGACGAGGGCCCAGCCACAGCAACTGCCAAAGCTCTGACCTTGCCTCCTAGGACTGAAGCACCCAGCATGCAGCAGGCCAACGTTCCACAAGTTACCTCTGCAAAGAAGCTACATTTTTGTTACTAGTTAAGGTACTTAAATGCATTTTTAAGATTCAACTCCTGAGTTTAGTGTCAATTGAAGAGCTGACAAGCCAACAAAAGAAGAAGCCATGTCCCTCTGTTACCTACATCATATTGCAGATAGTAGTCCTACTAGTAAAATGCAGAGGTTTGCCTACAGATCCTTTGTGGTTTAGGGTAGCTAAGTATTACCACAATTCACCAGCGAGTGAAGTTTATAATTGTAGCTACCAAAAAAATCATGAAATTTACTGGAAGTTGCGATTGATGGTTATGTCAAACAAATAGGAAATGTATGGACTTTCCAATGGAAAATTCCTAGGCAAGTAGCTGTCAGCAATGCCAAGATCACAAATATCTGTTGTTTATTTTAGACAGTTAATTTTAAAAATATTGGAAATACATTTCATATTCACCACTTGCAGCTAGTTGGTGGCACACTAGAGGCTACAACTGCAGTTTTTGTACACAGTGATTCCTTCCTATGTTGAGAGTAGCCTACGTAGTTTGTTTCTCATGCTACTCAGGTTCGCAATCACAACACAACACACAGACATGTAGAACCCTTGTTTCAAACGTAAAAGGCAGTAAACAAATGAAAAGATAGTGCTGGTCTAATTAGAAAGCCCAGCATGGTCTACAAACTAAATGTCATGAAAATATATAATAAAATTAAATGTAATGAAAAAAGTATCAGTTTTTAAACCTGCAACAAAACAGTTGAGTACTGTACATGACACAATTTTGCTTTTATTGCATTAGCAGTTAATTTTTCTTCAAGCTTTTTAGAGATCCACTTCCTTCTTCATGTTAAAATCATATTATAAACAGTTAATGCAAATAAAAAAAAAGGATTACATACAGTACAGCTGTTTTGTTTCAGGTGCACCTTAAAAAATTGACATCACAAAAGATTTTTCACTCAAACAATGTGTGGATATTCACTTCAGTTATCCAGTCATGTGAAAAGCATCTGTACATCATTGGGTATTCAAAGTGAAGAGGCATTTTCTTTTCTATTCAGAAGTGAAGATGCTCTATTGCATGGAGATTTCAACAGCTTTTTTTTGTTTGTTTATAAATTTATTTCAGATTAAAACAATTTTAACAAAATATGGAACAAATGTAAGAATAAAAGTTATCAACTACTTTTGTAAATCAGCTTCATTATCTTAAATTCATAGCTGCATTGTCTACTGCCCTTCTTGGCTGGTTGACTCCACACTCCAGAGACCTTGCAGTTTGCTCTGCAGGACCGGACTTTTACAATTACAGCTCAGCCCTGCTGTTAACAATGGGGGAGCCATTGTAGGGAAAGTCCCTTTTCAAGCTGTCAGCAATATTATTATGCAATAGTATAACACTACCTTCCCAGAAGTGACATGTAAAAGTACCACAAAGTCAAAAAACACTGTAACATTGTATCAGCAAAACTAATACTGAAACAGTAACATACACTATATTGCCAAAAGTATTGTGACACCTGCCTTTACACACACATGAATTTTAATGGCATCCCAGTCTTAGTCCGTAGGGTTCAATATTGAGTTGGCCCACCCTTTGCAGCTATAACAGCTTCAACTGTTTCGGGAAGGCTGTCCATAAGGTTTAGCAGTGTGTCTATGGCAGGGGTCAGCAACCCGTGGCTCCGGAGCCGCATGTGGCTCTTTCGTCCCTCTGCTGCGGCTCCCTGTCCAGGGGCGGAACTACCGCCAGGGCCTCGGTACGGGTGTAACTGCACACTGCGTGCTGTTATTTAATTTAATTAGAAAAGTACATTATAATGGGCAACATTACACTGTATTGTTGCCTACTATAATCTATTTCTCTGATTAAATGATTAGACAGGGCCGCTGTTCTATCAAAGTTTGTGACTAGGTTGGAATGTGTGACCGGTGACCTGGTCACACATTTCAATGTAATCCCGTCCAGTTTTTTTGGAGCGATTTAGATCTGCCCTGGAACAGCTGTTCCAGGGCAGATCAGTTCTCCTGCACATACGATTTTCGATGCCGATCTGCCCTGGAACAGCTGAGAAAGCATTGGAATGCTTGACCTATTGGCGGTCACACATTCCACCGCCAACAAACTGGGCGGGATTACAATGAAATGTGTGACCACGTCACCGGTCACACATTGTAATGTAGCCACAAACATTGATAGAACACAGCCATCAGGGGGTACAGCCGGTACCCATGTGAGGGGTCTGGGGGGCCTCTCACATAAGTATCAGCTGTACCCGGGGTGGCATGGCAGAGGTGACAGGGGAGGGGGTGGAGGAGGCCAGGCCAGAGCAGCAGCAGGTAAGAGGAGTTGGGAGGATATACAGGGAAAGGGACCCCGGCGGCCAACCCACCTGGGCCATGCAGAGCCCACCATAGAGAGTCTCAGATGGGCTGTGCAGGATCTATGGTGTGCTTTGCAGGGTCACTCTCAGGTGGGC